TTAGCTGTCAGCATTTAAACATCACATAAAAATCTAGCTTACTAAATTTTCCTTAAGACTAGGCTTATATTCATGCTGGGTAATAATTATCTAGAAACATAATACTACAAAGCTACATGTGGTATATTTATCTAGCCAAGATTTAAATTATTTTTTTCTTACAGTCATATTGTCCTGGGAAATCTAAAGTGCCACTTTAACAGTCTATGTGTAAGCAATTATTTCAACTGAGAGTAAAAGAAAAAAAATCACCCAACCAACCACAATCAATCAACCCATCCAATGAACAAGCAAGTATTATTTCTGTCAATGAAACTCTACTTTCTACTGTGATGTTTTATAGGAGAAAGAATACAGGTTTTGGTAATCAAACATTAAAGGTTCAAATCCCAACTTGGTCATGTAATAGTTCCTGTAGCGTTTGACAAATCACTTATGTTCTCTGTGTCTTACTTTCTGTGTATGTAAAGCTAGAGTAATAATATCTATTTATAGTGTTTGGTGAGATTTAGAAAAATAGATCTGAAGTAGCTGGCACAGAGATTTTTTTGACCATGACCTACAAAAAGGAAAACACATTTTGTAACATAACTCAGGACATGTGTGTATTTATACTCATATATATATATACATACACACATATACATACACTTCTTTATAACTTAAAAACAATTTTCAGAAATGCAACTTCTTTGGGTGTTGAGTTTAATAAGTTCTTTATAGATTTTGGGTACTAGCCCTTTATCTGATATGTCATTTGCGAACCATGAGAGACGATGGACTCTGAGAAACAAACTGAGGGTTCTAGAGGGGAGGGGGGTGGGGGGATGGGTTAGCCTGGTGATGGGTATTAAAGAGGGCACGTTCTGCGTGGAGCGCTGGGTGTTATATGCAAACAATGAATCATGGAACACTACATCAAAAACTAATGATGCAATGTATGGTGATTAACATAACATAAAAAAATGAAATACAACTTCTTTCTGAAATGCATTTGGTATTTTCTTCTCTTTTAAATTTTATTCCAGCTCATTTAAAAAATTTTGGTCATGACTGTAGATTGAAAAACTCCCATCTAGCACTATGCATGGCACTGGATAAGGACTCAATTAATTGTGGATGTTATAATTATTAGATGTGCAAAAATGAGCATCCTTAGGTGTATTAAACATAGTCATACAGTGTGTTCAAACAAAGTGTGCCTTTGATGAAGAGTCTGGCCCATTCACTGAAGGGATTAAACATAGCTAAAGTTTCTAGCAATACAAAGAAGGGTTTTTCCTGAGATGAACATCAGAAAATTTGAAATCCTACAATGCATGCTACTCTCTGGTATCTGAATTGAAACACTTAAAACCAGATTGTATACACTGTTCACACTACTAAGCTCATTTTCAACTTGACCCTCCCTTGTACCTTTGAAAGATTTCTTGTTCAAAATAGTCTTCAAATGCCCTTTTCTAAGAACTTTTTGAACTGAAAGAAGATGTTGCTATGAGAAACACAGCAAAAGGCTGATAAATAACATACACATTGCAAAGTCAAATAGATTGTTCCCACCTTAGAGCATTGAAGGCAGTTGCCTCCTTTCTCTAAAGTGGCAGAAAAACAAATCAGCATAGGAATACTTTTGATCAAGCGCATGTTCTCACTGGTAGAAAGTGTGTGTGATTCAGTTAGCTGTCAGCATTTAAACATCACATAAAAATCTAGCTTACTAAATTTTCCTTAAGACTAGGCTTATATTCATGCTGGGTAATAATTATCTAGATGTGAGTGATAGTTGACTTCTACAATGGGGCATGAGTGTCCAGTTCATCACTGCTTCACCCAACTGGGTGAAGTTTACGTTACTTGACTGACCTCTATACCTCTTTGAATTCTGATTTTACAGAGTTGAGGTGAATTCCTCAACATTCCATAGTTATTTAGTAGCTGAGATAGAATGTGCTCTCAAGTCTTTCAAGAATCCAGAACTCTCTACACTACTACACTGGGCCTGATCTTATAAAGTAAAATTAAATGATTTTAATATCTTCCATTAAAATAGTACATACCTAATGTTGAGTAGTAAAAATATGACATAACATGCCTGTGATCTACTATATCTTAAAAAGTATTTAATAAAATCCAAAAGAATGTTGGGTCCTCAAATACAGAATGTATCAAAATTTATTTATCTTTCTTCACTAAATCTACTCTGTCGTCATTATTGTTAATCATTATTTGTCCACACACCCAGGAATGAAACCTCAGACCTTTTTGATTCATTATTTCCCTCCATCAATTCCAAGCTTGTTTGCTCATATTATGTTTGATCATCTATTATTATTATGAAATGTGTCCCATTATTTTTGCAGTATGGTAGTTTTATAGGCAATGTCAGCAACTCGACCTTGATTCTATTTTCTCTCCTTTTCCTACCCTGCTTGCCCCCTTCCCCACCTGCCACACCTTTATTCATTCCTCAAGTCCCACAACCAATTTAACCTGCTCTGTGAAGTCTCCATTGTATTGTATGCCCCTCATAACAGGAATTTTAATTACTTTGCTAGTTTATATTCAAAAAAAACTGCATAGCTCACATTCTATAATTAGGTGTTTATATTCTGGTGTCTCCCACAAGAGTGTGAGTTACTTATGTTTTGCATCCTTTTTTGGTGAACAGAAACAATAAATATTTGTTATTTTGAAAAAAATAAAGGGAACAATGAACAAATGACTACAAAATGCATGAATTTCTGGTAGTATCATCCAGGGTAATGTCTCTGCCCATATATCTTTAAGATTGTCAAGTTCTGCTTAACTTGAGTCTTTTAGGAAAAAAGTTTTATGACCCTGTGACTAGGATTTAGCAAAGGCCAGGCTACAGCATAAGTCCTAAATTCAATGACATGTGTTCTTCCCTGGCCTAGGATCCAATCATTCTTGAAGGTAGATAATTATATATCTATGAAATGAGTTGCAGGTAAGCTCTATAAAGACAATGACCACATCAGACTTGTTCTAGGTGTCCAGCACCTAGCACAATGCTGGCATGTTGGCTGTATTTAAAACTTTTAACAAAGTTTTAAATGCTTCCCAAATCTGCAAATTCAGATCTCCTCTCCTAAGCTCCAGATCTATATATAATAGCGCTAAGGGAGTATCTTCATCTGAAGAGTCTCGGGCATCTCAAACTCAGTGCATCTAATACTGAATTGATTCCTTTCCTTTACAAATCTATTTGTCCTCACAATTTTCCAAATCCTATATCTAAAAGTCATCCTCGATTATTCCTTTCACTCACCATCCACTGATTTTTTTCCCACCAAATTATGTAGATGTAAATTATTTTCCATTCCATTCCCTCACTACATTTTCTCTGTTCTTGTCTTTTCTTACCCAGTTATTCTTATAGTGTCCTGTCCCCTTGCCAAAATTTGCACTAAGACTGCTCTATCCTCTGCAGTGCAACCAAGCTGATCCTATAAAATAGAAGTCTATATCCCAACACTGCTTTAATTCCTCAATTGACACCCCACTGGCCTTATCATAAAACTCAAATTCCATTACATGTTAGACAGTTGGCCTTCTAATCTAGCTTCTCTCAGCACTTTTCCTGAATGCTTTGACCAAGGATTCCTGAACTACTTGCTTTTTCTTGAAAGAATCTTACTTTTTACACTCTTAGTACCATTTCTTTCTCATGGTCTGCTTCAGGTGTTTTTCACAATTAAGCTCCGATGTTACCTTATTTGGGAGCTATTTCTTCTAACGCCTTCTCCCTTCACCTTTTGTATTATGAGGCTTAATTTCTCACTGTATTATTATTATTGTTTTTAAATAAGAAATGCTTCATGAATTTGAGTGTCATCCTTGTGCAGGGGCCATGCTAATCTTCTATGTATCATTCCAATTTTAGTATATATGCTGCTGAAGTAAGTACTTTTTCACTCTATTTTAAACCAGTGTATTATTATCAATTTAACCACTTGTTTACATAGATTATTTATACCTTGGGGATAAATATGACAATCATGCCAATAATACTTTACTTACATTTATTGAGCCTTACTTACATTTACTGAGCCTTACTCAGGCAATGTTTAAAGTTCTTTATGCATATTTTCTAATTTAGTCTTCACAAAATTTCTGTACCCTGGGTACTATTATTAATCTTTACTTTACAGATGTGGATAATGAAACACACATAGGTTAAATAAGTTGCCTGAGGTCTAACAGAGCTAGGATTAAAATTCAAATAGTCTGGTTCCCAAAATGTGTATTCTTAATCACTCTCTACACCATCTTTTGCATAAAGTAAGATACACCTTACTGATTTGACATCGATCAGATAGAATGTTGGTCCAGTAATGGTAACAGGTTCACTCCAGCTGATGTTGATGCTAAAAGGTGATGTTGCTACTACATACACATTTTCAGGAGGACCATCTGGAGCTGTGAAAATAGAAAATCAATTACCCTGGGACATTTGAGTTAGTCTTTGCTACAGTACAATAATAGAAAAGGCCATGAGAAAAGGATAGTGATAATGAATTAATTATACATTAATTTATAGTTCACAGCATGCTAAAGGCATTGGCAAATCAAAAGATGTAATTCCTTTCAAAATAATTACTACATATAAGAAACTTCCACATGAGAAATTAATATTCATAAATGTATGATTTTTAAATGCAATATTTTGAAATTATTACTGTTGCAAAATAAATCTTTTTTAGTAAATGCTTTTATTTAAAAATAGATTGTCTAATAATGTTGTTTTAGGAAGACCTGTAGAAACATGTTTGACTACAAAAAAAGTGAAACTGGAACAAGTGAATTATATTTAAAATTGGGTTGCTTTTATTGTTTTCACAGAGGGAGTAACATAGGAAATAGGTTATACAACTGATATCACAAATGTAAATGTTTCCTGAATTCATTATGATTCCACACAACTTCTTTAATTTGTCCTATTTTTATTACTGTTGTTTTTTTATCAAGGGTGCAAAACAAGAGATAATATTTTAGGGAACTGACTGCTGAAAACCCTTATGTAAATTGTCAATTTGTGAAACTGCTAGGAACTAGAAGAGTTTTTAGTATGTTAAGAAGATTTAGTCACCGTTGATTTGACATACATTGAACTAGGAACACTGTTATGCATATCTCTGTCCTCCTATGGCCCCCAGTCAATTCTAGGGGCATTAAATACTGGGAGATAAGAATTTTCCAGTTTTTCTAATTTTTAAATCCACATGAGGAAACACTGATGAACAAATATTATTCCACAGATCCTGAGAAGGTATAAAGAAAAAGATTATTAAAATATTCCTTTCCTCAAATAATTTATAAGAGCAACAAATTGTACTAGCTTGGTCAAACAAAATTTCTGGACCTCAGCTTCCTCCTCATATGCATATATCATAGTGTTTTAAAAGAATCATGAATTCAAAACATGTGAAAGTGGCCAGTTAGTTTACTATTTGGCCCATCATTGTCAATTAGTACAGTACAATTAGTACAGTATATTATAAGAAAAGGCTAAGTTAAGGTAAGGAGTAATTAGAAATACAAAGAATCTACTGTGAGTGGGCAAAGGGCAAAGTGGTGAATACAGATGGGGCAGGGAGTCTAGGTAAAGTTGCACAGAGTAGATGGGAATTGAATAGGCTTTGAAAGATGAGAAGGATTTCAATAATCGGAGGAGTAGGGTTAGGGGCACTTCTTTGCTAAGAGGATCTCAAGCAAAACCACAAAGACACAAACAGCAGGGTCCACAGACAGATAGAATTTTATCACTGTAGAAGTGTTTTCCTTGGTAATCTTATGTTTATTATTTTATACATTCAAAAATATTGTCCTAGGAAGGAGTCCACACACTTCATCAGACTGCCAAAGGAATCCATGGTACAAAAAAGATTCAGAATACCTAAATTCAAGGAATACGGATATCACAAAGAGACCCATGTTCATATGGTAAGGAACACGCCTCAAATGGGCTTTGGGAACTAAGTTAGGTTATTATGCTAAAGTGTTTGGAGCTTATTCTTTAAATAATAGAATGCCACTGCAGGTTTTTGAAAAAGGAATTATTTTTCTAAGTATTTAGGAAGAAAACTCCAGTAGTTACAGAATAGGTAAGTGCTCTGAAGCATCGAGTCCAGGGAGGCTATTTCCAAAAAGCCAGTTAAGATATGATGAGATCCTAAATTAGATTAGTGACACTAGGATTGGATAGGAGGAGATGAATCCTAGAGTCATTTAGAAAATTTAATTAAAAAAAAAACTTGAGGCTGATTATATGTGGGTAAAAACTGACACAGAGGATGTAGCAAAAGCTAATTCATGTGTTAACACGAGGCGAATGTTGATAGAATTCATACCAACAGCATATTCAGGAGCAGATACTGATTTTAGTACGGTTAAGACTTTGGAAGGAGATAATAATTTTGGATTTGTACTCATTGAGTCTGAGACACAAGAATTGAGAATGCCTACCTGATAATTTGAAAGATAAACCTAGAACTAGGAAGACAGGGCCAGGATGGGAAAGAATTTTTTAAAAATTTCCAATGATTCTTTACAAATCTAGATAGCATAAATACAGTAAGCATATGTGGTTCAAGTGAGTCACACGATCTGAAGAGAGCCAAAGGTTTATTTCAGTACCAGATAGTTATTTAAAATGTTAATAGTAGTGATAATTTTTAAACTATGAATGTGTTATTGGCACTTAGAGTATGTTTCCAAGAGAGATGTTATGTGTGGAATTTAGGTCCTCAACTCAGCCCTTAAAAATATATTTTAACAGTAGCATTAAAATATATATTAAATTATTTAAAATATTAAAATATTTTAAAACAATATTCAGACGTAACAGAGGAATCTAGCAATTGTGTATAAGGAAGTTTCTGTGGGAAAATGCCTTCGATATGTCAAACTTATCTTTCCTATGCATACCTTTTCTGACCCTTGTGCAATACTCTGGACATTGACTCAGAGATCTAGTCCGTATGGCCCAGGAAGGCATTCAGGAGAGAGAGTGAAGAGGGGATACTTTAGGATTCAGAGGTTTGATGAACTGAGAAGTGCTAATAATGACAGAATTGGGTACATGATTTCTCTGGTAACTAATGTGGAGAGATCATGGAATCCCAGCACTTAAACACACCTGCATATCCTAACATCTTCAGTCTTTATTACTTCTAATTTTATGATCCTAGATTTATGAAAAGTGTCTCAAACTGTAGCATAATTCATGTAGATAATTACATATAATAAATGAGAGCTATGAGAGATCTCCTGCCACCAGCATAATTAATTGCTTTTGGATGCCCTAGCAGAATAATGCACTTCATATTCAAGAGTGGCAACCCTCTTTCCTTCTCAAATTGGAGTTCCTTAGAAATGTTATGCCCACCTTAACAAGTTACAAAATAACAAATAGTATCTCTGAATCTCTCTATGCAGAATGTTAAATGAGGAGTGGATAGGCTTCAGGACCAGGTACACCATTACTGATCATTACTGTACACTCTTCTCACGGAAAAATCTGCTTTGAAAAATATAAGATGGTTTGTAGCTTTTAATGGCCTATCTTCTGCTGCCTTTGACTCTATAAATGGGGATCGGCTAGAAGTACAAATTTATTAAGACATCTTCTAATTAATTAATAACTAATGTTTTTATTATTAAACATTAATTAATCTTTTTGCAAAACGTGCCGTCTAGCTCTGTAAGAGCCATTGTGGAAAGGAACAGTTTTCTGACAGGCCACAAATTTATATACCACTTTAAGAAAATATTTTAGGCTCCCTTTCTCTTTAGTTATACCCAAATGTTCTGTTGGCTTTTAGATGAAATTTATATGTTTATCCAACCAGCAAATATTGATTGAGAACCTTCTGTGTGACAGACACTGGGAAGACATAAAGACTATAGAAGTGATGGACGTAGTTGTAGACCTATCCATACAGAGTTTCTAGAATATAACTGCTCTTCTTCACTCAACTATTTATTGAACACCTACTACATGGTGGGCATTTCTGAAGTGCTGCTGGTGGAGAAGGAAACCAAAGAGATAAAGATCATAGAATCTCTATTTTAGTGGAGGGAGATAAATAATATATATTATAAAAATTTAGGTAAGTCAATACTAATATGTAAGTAAATTACATACTATGTTAGGAAGTGATATGTACCATTACAAAAAATGAAGCAGGATAGTAAGAATAGGGATGCTGATGGGAATTTTTATTTTAAATATGGCGGTCAGGGCATGCCTCTATAAGCAGGTGACATTAAAACAAAAATTTGAAGAGGGAAAGGAGCACGTGAATGTTTGAAGGAAGAGTGTCACAGATAAGACTATGGCTAATGAAAAGGCCCTGAGGCAGGATTTTGCCTGGTCTCTTCTAGGAATAACAAGGATTCCAGTGAGACTGAAGCCAGGTAATAATGAGAGTAAGAGAGGAAATGGGATCCAGTTTGTATAGGGCCTTTAGAGCCAGTGTTAGGGGCTTTGTAAGAACTGCTGCCATGGAAAAAAAAAAAACAAAAAACAAAAAACAAAACCGCTGTCATGGATAAAAAGACAATGCCATAGTATATTTTCATGGACTAAAGTGGCCTCTATAGATTTTGACACTTGATCTCTAACTCATACCAGAAAGATGGGTCAAACTTAATTAGATCCAAAGAAGAAATATTATCTCCAGAATCTAATTCATATACCTCTATAAAGTATACCAATTCAATGGCTATTGGGACTAACTTTTAAACCAAACTCATTCTAGCAGGCGGGCAAGATGGTACATTATTGACAGACACCACAGACCATTTACTGATAATTTTCTGTGACTAAGAAAGTTGATGAGATTTTTCTGTGACTATGTTGATGGTAGCCTGTCTTTGGAAATATTTCCAAGGAAATATGTCTACATCTCCTGTGCTCTATAGTTTGGGTCTTTTGGGTCTCAAGTGAGGGCAGATCCAAAACCATTTCCCAAAGTAAACCTTGCGTAGTCTTGCAAGTACGTCTGTGTCTACCTAGCTCAGAAAGCTCTATGAAGCCTTACTTCAACTCTTGTCTTTCATAGGAAAATGTCAACCTTGCAATTATTCCTTAAATGCTAGTAATCAAGCCCTCATCAGGGAGCATCTGCTACCCCAAGCAGAGCTGAGAGAAAAATGACATTTAAAGATCATTCATGGCACACACTAATCAACTGGACTATGCAATATTTTCAGTTCTATACACTAATAAATCATTATAAGAAAAAGGCAAGGTATTTAGCCCCTCACTGAGCTGTGCTTTAATGCCATTTCTTGAACTTTTCCCAAGGACTTTTTCTTTTTTTCTTTTTTAAGAAACACTCTAAACAACATCTGCATTTTCAGTAAATTTGATGAAATTGCCTGTTTTTTTATACAAGTGTTTCCTGTGTTGAATT